ACAATTTTCTTTTAGTTCCTGAAATAGCTCGTGTGCAAGATCATACCGTTTGGCTTTTCCAAGAGCATCAATCAGGCTGCAATATGCCGCTGGACATGGAGGGAAGCCCTTTTCATCCATCTCCTCCAGCAGCATCATAGCCTTCTCCGTCCTGTTGGTTTTGCAGAATCCATCAATCAAGATTGAGTAGGTGAATGGACTAGGGGAGATTCCACTTTCCTTCATTCTCTCGAACCATGATGAAATCTCAGAAATACGAGATTTAGATTCAAAAAGTGCTTTAATTATAGTGTTGTAGGTCACCACGCTAGGAATACACCTTAATGTCTTCATCTCCTCAAACAACTTCATAGCATCATCCAAACGACCAGCCTTACCCAAGAAATTTATCATATTGTTAATAAGAACTGTGTCTGGCCTGCAGCCTTCTCGTCGCATTTCATAGAAGAAGTTACATGCTTCATCAAATCTCCCAGCTTTACCAAGTCCCCTGATTAATTCAGTGTAAGTAAACACATCTGGCCGGCAGTACTGATGCCTCATCTCTTCAAACAAACTCAATGCTCCATGAACATTGTCCAATTTAAAGAGCAAAGCCATTAGCATGGTATATATCTTAGCAGTTGGCTGCATTCCATTGTCCTTCATCTCATTCAACAACCAAATTGCTGAATCCTGGCGACCAAGTTTGCAGAAAGCAGAAATGAGTGCACTGTAAGTCACGGTGTCTGGGAAGCATTGGCCCTCGTTGCTCATCTCATTGTAAAGTTCATGCACTTTCTCATACTCCCCCTCATGCATTAACATGATTATCATGCTATTATATGCCTGAGCAGTGGGTTGACACTTTCGTGCCTTGGTTTGGTAAAAGATTGCAACTGCCTTACTGATCATCTTGGCATTCCCCAGCATCCGGATGATGTCTGATAGCTCCATCGGCGTGACAACACATACAGGATTCCGTACCATTTCTTGGATCATTTTCCACATTTCACCATACTGCTCTACTACCTCTAAACAACGTATCAATGCCATGTAAGTGGATGTGTCGTGTTCGTAATTCCTCTTCCTTGCTGTCCATCTGAAAAATTGCATCTTCACACTGACCCCGACATCGGTTTTCATAACCTCTCTTACCAACCAGTGATCAACTTTCATCATTAATACCTCCAACGCCTTCTCAGCATCAGGGCCCCACTTGAATATCTTCAGGATCCTAATGAATCTCTCATCCATGACTCGTATGGAATGCGTGTACCTTGGTCCAGTGGTTGCTACTGCCTCCTCACTCTGACGAACCGGGGGCTGGAACATCTGGACAATCTCATTCTCTGCGCCAGTAATTCAAGATTTTCAAACAAAATAAATAAGGCATTAGTATTAAAAATGGCATTTCATACAGCAACACAGATCGTATGCTCAAAAGTAAAATTAAAACAACAATCGAATCCAGCACACATGAGGACTAATCTCAGAAGGAAGTAATTTATTCTACCTGACTAAGGTAACTGTTACAAACGGCTGCATCAGAACATGATTTCACTCAAGTTAGCAGTACAAAGAAAGCTGATCTGACCTTGTAATACGTAATGATATCATAGCAACTAACAACAAAGGTCAGGTTCCTGAAACCCTTCCTAATTTCCGCTGGAACTTATGACAGAGCCCACGCCTAGCACATTCTTAGCAAACCGAAATAAAGGGGAAGCGTGGATGGGTGGGGGTGGGGGGTATGTGTGCCACCTGTTTGCTTTACCCTCCACGCGAGGTGCGGCGACGAGGAGATGCCCCGGACGGCGAGGAGGCGCGCCATCTTCGGCGGCCGGCGGCCGGCGGCTTACGATACGGCGGGCGAGGAAGAGGAGTGGGTGGGGATGGGCGCAGGGGTTACGAACGGGCCCTGCAGGATGTAGGTGGAGTCAGATTTGGGCCGTGGGGCTGGGAGCCCAACCCGGGCATCGTGGACTTTGATCGATAAAGCTCGGTTTAACCCCTAAAGAAACTAAAAAAGCATGCTCAACTGAAAAAATATATTAACTAGGCGTGCTTTATCTTTAAATTAGGGGATTTATTTGTGGTTGGGACTGCCTAATGATCCACTTGTTATAGCTGTAATCATACGTGTTGATCAATAAAGCCTAGCAATAATTTTTTTTAAGCTTCAGAGTTCACATCATAGTAGAGGAACCAAAAAAACGGATGACCGTCCCCGCTGGCAACTCAATAACACGCGAGCCTCCGTCCAGCGATCCCGAGTCACATCGCAACTTCAAGCCCAACCTAGGCTAGCCACCCCCACGTCGACGCCGCCGCCTTCCCCACTCCCGCTCCGTCCCTTGCCTACCGACCCGATGGCTTCTTCAGCGCCAAGGCTTCCAGTAGCACGTCGACCGCCATCATTGCCATCCTTCTCCCCAAGTATCGTGTTTCAAAACCTCGTACTTTCATCCTTTCATTCCGGCGTCATGATCGATCCCGTTTCTTTCCTCCTTCTCTCATTTCTGGGCATCATCTAGGTCACACCGTCGTCGGTGGCGCTGTGTTTCTCCACCTCATGTGTCTCGCCCTCTCATGTCGTTCTTCTTCCATGCGCGATATGATTGTTGATGACCTGAACTAGGGGGTACTTACAATATCGACTCCCGGCCAGGTGGGCCGAGTCGAGAATCCCCTTTTGTTTGTTCCGTCCTGGGCCACTTCGGGCATCCCTGACACATACAAGGAAGGTTACACAAGACTTGGCATATAAGACAAGGACTTCTTTTCACCAACATAGCTGATCAGGACTCCTTTTATCCTAAGCATCTAATACATTATATAAATCGAGGTCAGACTAGTCGATAGATCATTAGAATCTTATACAATAATCTCATGATAGATATTTATACTCTGTACTATACCCCAATACAATAAACACAAGCAAGGTGTAGGGTACTGTCTATTTGAGAGAGTCCGAACCTGAGTAAAAATCATTATGTCTTTGTTATCATCGTTTCAGGACGCATAGCTTAGAGCAACTCCAATGGGGCGACCCACTTCGTCTGCGGCCGTCCGTTTGGGTCGGCGCGGACAAAAAAGCCGGCCCAACGCGCCGAGCCAAATGGACGTGCGTCCGCTTTCGTCCGCCTGCCGACCCATTCCGGTCCATTTTTGAGGCTGATTTGCGTCAGCGCGGACACAAGACAGACGCGCGCGCTCGCCCTCTTTCCTCACCGGGCCCGCTGGCCGGTGGCACATTGGATTCACACACTCGCCCGCCTGCTACGTCGCCGATGCCACCGGCCATTTTTTTCAGATTAAAATGGATACATAGATAGTTCTAGTGAACAGAGATAAAAAAAAAGACCACTACTCGTCGTTTTCTGACTCCGACTCGGTAATGTCCTCCTCCGACGTTTGAAGGTAGGCGTCAGCAAGCTGCTCGTCTTCAAAGTCCCAACCCGACGTTTCTTGTAGCTTCAGTTTCAATTGAGATGCCTGCTTCCGCGAACGCTTGTCCTCCCGATAGGCGGCTCGCTCCCTCCTCCTCGCGTCCCTCTCCGATCTCAATTGCTTATAGAACTCGCGCTCGTCGACGATGTCCTGCGGGTAGCCTCCTCGCCACAACACCAAGGCTTCCACGTCCTTCTCTGCGATGGTGAGGCGACGCTGCCGCCTCCGATGGACACGACGATCCTCGTCGGTGAAAAGCCGCGGGAGAGGCGCCAGATCCTGCGCCCGCTGGCTCGACACGTTGGGAAAATTCATATCCCGACGAGGCCTCAGGAGGCACCACGCCGCCGCGTCGTGCGCGCGGGCCGCCTCCTCTGCGGTGTCGAAGGTTCCGAGGACGAGACGTTTCTCGCGAAACCAGATCTCAACGGAGAAGGCGTCGGAGCGGCGCTCGCGGACTCCGCGAAAATCCGAAGCGCGTAGGCGGCGAATCGACATGGTGACGCAGAGACGGCGAGAGTGGGCGGCCGACAGAGTGTGAAGGAAGCGCCTTCTTTTATAGCGAGCGCCGGCCGCGGCGCGCGCGCGAACCTTTCCCGCGCGCGGTCATGAAAATAGGTCGGTCCGTTGGGCGCACTGCCGACCCAAATCTAAAAGAGGGCGGACGGCGGGCGGGCGGGCGGCCGATCCAAATGGACAAAAAGCAGACAAAAACGCCGTCCGTTTGGGTCGGCCCGTTGGAGTTGCTAGCGGGGCAACTCCTCCTTGTGTCTATCCAATTTTCGCTCCATCACCGTTGGCGTGTAGCGCGGAGAGCGGGGCAACTCCTCCCCGGCCTCATCGCTGTCGCCTCCATCGATAGGGCCAGCGGCGTGGTGAAGGAGATAAACGCCACCCACTTCAGCGCCGTCGCCCGGAATCGGCGAATCGACTTGATCCATAGCCCAGAGTAGCACCTCCAGCACGTGCCTTCGCTCGTCTCGCCCAATCAGAGCCTCTTCTTGCACCTCCACCAATGAATCCATGCTCCTCTGTCAGAATCCAGCACTGCCTCTGCTTCCACCTTCAACTCCGTGGCCCATAATAACAATGGGAACACCTTCTGGCATTTTTTTATTTTTTATTGGAATGTTGGCAGAAGAGCTGCCAAATTCATTCATAAGAGGCATTACAAGTACGAACATGAGTATTCCACCTTCCACTCCCTCTGTCATTTTAAAAACTTTAAAAATTTCCAGATCTAGCGATCCATTGTTTTGATATTAGAGGTGGATTTCTGTTGACATTATTACTAGAAGTGGATTTCTGCTGACATTTTTTTCTTTCAGATTCCTGTTGACATTATTATTAGAAGTGGATTTCTGTACGCAAGCACCGCTGTCACCTTTCACTTCACCTTCAGGAATATTGACTTTCTGGTTAATCAAAGATCAGGAAGCATATTAAAGCACAGAAATGGCTCTATATATAAACAGTGAAGCAAGTGCGATTAGCGATCAGAAGACCAATTATTTCCACAAAACAACCTTTGCCACTGCCCGGCGTATTCCCCTCTCCGCCGGGGCGCCATGGATCCGGACGAGGAGGTCGAATTCGATCTCTCCCCGTTCGCCATCGTGTACAAGAGCGGCCGCGTCCAACGCTCTGGTCTAACGTCGCGGAAGAGCCCCGGCACCGACGCCACCACCGGCGTCACCTCCAAGGACGTGGTCATCGACGCCGGCACAGGCCTCGCCGCGCGGCTCTTTCTCCCCAAGAGCGTCCCGGAGTCCCAGAAGCTCCCCGTCCTCGTCTACTTCCACGGCGGCGCTTACGTCGCCGAGTCGGCCTTCTCCGCCAGGTACACCAGCTACGTCAACGCCCTTGTCGCCGCCGCCCGCGTCGTGGCCGTGTCGGTGGAGTACCGCCTCGCCCCGGAGCACCCGCTCCCCGCCGGCTACGACGACGCGTGGGCCACGCTCCGCTGGACAGCGGCGAACTGCGGCTCGGCGGGGCTGGAACCGTGGCTGACCCACCACGGCGACCCCACGCGCATCATCGTGGCCGGCAACAGCAGCGGCGGCAACATGGCGCACAACGTGGTGATGAGGGCCGGAAAGGAAGGGCTCCGGGGAGGCGCGCGGGTCGAAGGGATGGTGCTGCTTCATCCGCTGTTCTTGGGCAAGGCTCCGGTGCCGTCGGAAGGCACGGACTCCACGGCGACCGCCGAGAGGAACTGGCGGTTCGTCTGCGCGGGAAACTACGGGCTCGACCACCCGCTCTCCAACCCGCTCGTGATGCCGCCGGAGGAGTGGGCGGTGCTCGGCTGCCGACGGGCGCTGGTGACGGCGGCCGAACTCGACCCCTCCAGAGACAGGGCGCGCATGTACGTCGAGGCGCTCCGCGGCAGCGCGTGGGGCGGCGAGGAGGCCGTGCTGTACGAGACGGAGGGCGAGGGTCACATGTATTATTTCTCCAAAGCCGCGAGATCCAACTCCGTCGTGCCGGAGAAGGCGGCGAAGGAGATGGCCATTGTTGTGTCCTTCATCAAGCGCGTTACATGCACCAGTCCATCGGATTGTAACATTAGATCTACGTTGTGAATCGAAGCCACTCTTACAGTTCGTTTGTGACGAAACGACAGCACACCGCGGCCGCGCCGGCGTGCGCGCACCGATCAGGGCTCAGGTGCCGGCGATGAACGCCACGACGCGAGCCATGAGCTCCTTGGCCTTGGCACAGTCCGGCTTCTTCAGGAAGAAGACGTGCCCCTCGCCTTCCGACTCGAACCACGCCACGCCTCCACGCCATACGCTCCCGCGCCACGCGCTGGTGGTCACCGCCGCGTAGTACGCTCGGTCCCTGGCCGCCAGCCAGTCCTTCTCGCCGGCGCACACGAGCATCCGCTCGCACCGGAGATTCTCCATCCCCGGGGCGCCCGGCGCCATCGGGTTCATCCTCGGGTCGTCCGCGCCGCCCACCGCGCCGGGGCACGCGAACTCCCAGATCATGGCCATGTCCTTGGCCGTCGCCTCGACCTCACCTTCGAGGAACGTGTTCCCTCCGAACCAAGGATGCAGAAGAATCGCGCCTTCTACTCTCGGCGCCGGCTGGAACGACGCTCTGATGAGGACGTTGTGCACTATGTTGCCGCCGGCGCTGTCGCCGGCCAGGAAGAGGCGCGCGCTGTCGCCGTGCTCGGCGAGCCACTCGTCCTGGCTCGAGGCGGCCCACGATAGCGCGGCCCAGGTGTCGTCGTAGGCGTCGGGCACCGGATGCTCGGGCGCGAGGCGGTACTCGACGGAGACGGCGACGACGCCGGCCACGGCAGCGAGGGACGCCACGTAGTTGTGGTACTGCGGGGAGACGGCCGACTCGACGAGGAAGCCGCCGCCATGGAAGAAGACGAGGATCGGGAGCCTCTTGGAGGGGTCTCGGCTGGTGGGGAGGAAGAGGCGGACGGACAGGCCGGTGTCGTAGTCAAGGACCACGTCTTTGGACGTGACGCCGGTGGCCGGGTCGAGGCCGGTGGGCACACGAGCCGGGCGACAGAGGCGGTCCATCTGGCCGCTCCGGTATATGCGGTAGTCATCGCAGTCGAACACTACTTCGTCGGCGCCGGACTCCATGGCCGTAGCCGCGCACAGATCTGAAGGTATAGTTTGTTCAGTGGTTGGTGGCAGTGGCAGAGACTAGCGGTGGACTGGAAAGTGTGAAGTTGCTGCTGCAGCAGTCGGTAGCTTACGGCAAAATTGACAAATTTAATCTATGGACGAAATCAAATCACAGAATAAACTGCCCGTGAAACTATTTCACGCGGCTGTCCTTTTTAAGTGACACCCGACACGAAGACGTCACACTACACTATGCAACGCCTCGTAGATAGGCGCTACACGTCTGGCCAACGTCGCACCCATGTAATTCGAAAATTACTAAGTCAGTGTGCAACGTCTGAGAGCTAGGCGCCACACTATACAGTGTAGCGCCTAGCTTCTAGGCGTTGCACTAGTGGTTGCTTCATTTTGTAGTGCAACCACTAGTGCAGCGCCTGAGAGCTAGGCGCCACACTATACAGTGCAGCGCCTAGCTCGTAGGCTCTGCACAATGACTTAGCAATTTTTAGTCGGTTTGGGGTACAACGTTTGCCAGGCGTGTAGCGCCTATCTGTGAGGCGTTGTACAATGTAGTGTGACGCCTTCATGTTGGGCGTAGCACAAAAAGGTCAGCCGCGTGAAATAGTTTCATGCATAGTTCATTCTGTGATTTGATTTCGTCTACAGGTCAAATTTATCAAATTTGCCGTAGCTACCGCCTGCCAATCTATTTCTAGAAGTTGGCACAAAATGATGTTACTGCCAATCTTGGAACGCAAACTTTTCAAGAAAACTTTGTTGAGTAATGTGATTGTATTAAAAAATATAAGTTAGACCAGGAAATATTCTGGCTTGTCTTGTACTCCAAGTAGATCATGTACTTCTATATATATGCCCACGTGTCTTGTACTCCAAGTAGATCATGTACTTCTATATATATGCCCACGAGGCTCAAGCAATACAACGATAATTCCACCAAAACCCTCTCTCCCTTCTGACAGAGTATCAACCTAATCGATTTTAAACCTTAGCCAGCGCCGCTTCCGCACCCGCGCCACGACACGTGGTCCCCGCCGCCGCCATTAGGCTGTTTTCGTGATTACACCAACCCGTGCGCTACCGCTGTGTCGCCTCTTCGGGCCATAGTGACGCGGCCCGCGGTCAACCGCCGCCCCGAGGCCATCCGCTCCAGACTGTCCCCGAGGCTGCACCGACCCTCATGCTGCCGCTGCGTCGCTCGGTCGGGCCGTAGCGAGCGTGGCACGCGGTCCCTGCAACCGCCGTGAGGTCTTCCCCGCCGTCGCCCTGACCCGCGCTACCGCTGCGTCGCCCCTTCGTGTCGTAGCGTCGCGTCGCGTGGTCTACTTCGCCGTCCCCGCGCGTCGACTTCTATGCGATATTCGTCGCGCCGCCTCCCTAGGAGCGGGAACGCCATCGTTCGCGCCGGTCTTCGTCATGCTGTCGGGTTCTTCCTCGCCTACTTCGGGCACCGTCGCCGCACTTCTGACCTAGCCGCCGCCGCCTCCTCAGGCCGTCGCCGCCGCCGCTCTTCTTCCCGGTTCATGGCGACTACCTCGACACCGGCCACCCCGACTCGACATCGACCACGGCGTCCCTCGCACGGCTACCTCGACCACAACACATCGACAAACGGCACAAAGGG